AAAGTATATTGTTTAGTTCCTTTAAAAATCACGCCAGGGTGTTCACCTGAGCGCTGTTTTACGTTTTAGAGTTCTGAAAGACAAATGATTACATAAAGAACTCAGACCAAATAAAAATGAACAAAGAGCTTGTAACTTGATACGATGCTCGTGGAAATGTTAAGCACTTCAGTGATATGGTAGATGGTTTTCAATTATCTCTCGTTCAAATCAAATCCTTCATCATGCAGCTGGTGGCAACTATTTCAATTTAAAAATGAAGTGTAACTTTAGTTCTTCACAGTTCTCCTTCGATCTAATAAAAGTTTAGCACTCCCTAGTTCCAGACTGACAACTCCAATCAGTGAAGGAGTTCTGCCTTTTCAGCCTCACGACAATATTGATAAAGCACTAAACTGTCATTCTTGAAAATATGTGTACACTAGGGAAAATGTCGTCGAAGGAAGTATTTTGACAGATGAGCTTCTGTGTGGTCATTTAAAGTACGCCGAGTACGACAGCGGCAGGTAAAGTGAGTGCTTGAAGGAGAGTGCAGCAACGAACAACAAAGCGGCTGCTTCAAAGCTGATAACAGATAACGGATGCAGGACAGTAAAAGTGCACACTATTTTTCGCTTGTACAATTTTCCTAAAATATTTCTATATTCGTAGTAAAATTTGTAATAGATTATGCGTTGAATAAAACAACAACATGACTGTATATTCGATAGATGTGAACAGTTTCATAGGTAAAATGGTTTCTTGTCAACAATCTACTGGGAAATTCGTAAGTTTATCTCTGCCACTGATACTGGCTCACTAAGCCAAATAGTATTAAAATATTTGGATTACGAGTGAATACTTCCTCAAAAACTCTGCAGCCAAAGAGTGATCCACTAGTCTAATTTCGGCTTCCAATTTTGTTGATCAATATGCCAAGTAAAAGTTATCTACACTTTCAACTCTCTTCTCCTCCAGGTTATGTAAAGCGATAAAAGAACATTACACAAAAAGAAAGAGTACAACTAATTGTAGAAACACTACTAAAAATTTCAAACATAAATCGCAACGTAATGTTAAAAATTTATCGATTAATGACCAAAATCATAGTATTGATACAACGATAAAAAACTTGGAAAAATTGCAAAACTAATATAAGATGTTGTGCTATTTTTTACTTAATGTTGTTCAGAGAGAGAGATATCCATTATGATGACTATTTTAATACAGCATATTATTCACAGTACAAATTTGCAACCAATCCTCAATCCAATTACTTAATTTTATTTCCGCTACCAAGTCTGTTGTTTAAAATTGTTCTTCCAAACAAAATAACGAATAGTGGGAGACGCTTTCAGCGAAACAAATTGCTACTGAATATTTACAAAACATTTGTCCCAACATCTTTTATATTAACACTGTGAAGATAGGATTTTCTTTAAATTTCTACTTGAATAAAGTTTCCATTTACCTTTTCCAAAATATTAACAGGTATACAGAGCTAACAAATGTTTCCACACCATAACTTGCAGAAGTGAGTAGCTCCCTTAGGTCCAGCTATCCACCACTTATATAAAAAATGTATTATGCATTATATTTTATTCCGGATTTCAGTTTTTGTCTTATTCAAAATGTTCAAAATCACTTAAGCAAACTTCATAAAATTTAGCGGTATCTAATGATAAAGAAAGTGATAACTGGGAAACCATGTAGGACCAAATGCAACATTAGCATAAAAAAATGAAAATAAAAATCGAAATAAGACATTGGATGAGCTGAGAAAACCAATAGGTGAGCGTGAAAGTAAGCATCAAATCAAACTGCAGGATGAGGCGTCAGGGTTAGGGAGGTAGCAATTCTCCTTCTTCGGGTCTAGGTTGGTTGGTCGGTGGGATACAAAGACGGATTGCTGGTAGCTGAACGAGAACCAGTCCCAGGGAGCACAGATACACACACACACACACACACACACACACACACACACACACACACACACGCACACATACACATATACACACACACACATACTCCACATAC